GGCCCCTGGCCACCCCAGCGCCCCGGCTCACCAATGTTGTGGGCCTCGTCGAAGACCACCACGGCCTTGCGGGCCAGCTCCTTGGACACCAGGTCGGCTATCTTAGGGTCCAGGAGGTAGTGATAGCTGTACACCACCACGTTGGCATGCAGGATCTGGGGGGCCAGGCTGGCGCGGTTACCCCAGCTGGCCGCTAGCACCGCCCCTCACTTACATCGCAGGGACAGAGGCGAGGCATGGGCAGACAGAGAGGTGGGCAGGCAGCGCCCCCACCCCCATTGCAACCCGTCTCACCGAGTACCGCGCAAGAAAGTACGGGCACCAGCCTTGCCGCCGCCCCAGGGTCTTCAGGTCATCCAGGTTGTAGATGCCGGCAGGGAGGGGCACCTGCCGCCCATGGGCATCAAATTCCTGGGGTGGGGGTGAGGGGGGGTCCCAGGGTCAAGGAAACTGGCAGTCGGGTGTTCCCGGGCCGCACCCCCATGCCTTGCCCTCCTGCCCGGGCACCTCGTAGAAGCGGCAGCTGGGCAGGCTGGGGTCCTGCTGGTGCTGCAGCCGTACGTATGAGGCCGTGAGGCTGTGACACTTCCCGTCCACGTCCTTCCCAAAGCGCAGCGGCGTCACCTGTTTTGGGGACGGTGGCCCGGAGAGCTTAGAATTTGGACGCCAGGGAAGAATTAAACGGGTTCAAGGCTCTGTTATTCTCCTCTCAGTAACACTCTGACAGAGCGCCCTGAAACCTGTGCCTGCTTAGACTTTCAGTGAGCTGCCATCCAAAACAGGCCCTGTCGGCCAAGCAGGTTACCACACTGGGCTGCTAACCCCAAGGTCAGCAGTTCGAATCCACAGGCACTCCACTGAGGTTCTCTACTCCACATAATGTGTTACAGTCTCGGAAACCCACAAAGGCAGCTCTACCCTGTCCTACAGGGTCTCTATGAGTCGGAATCAACTGGCTGGCAGGACATGTTTTTGTTTTGTTTTGCCAACAACAACAATTTACAAGTTCACAGCTCCTTATGGCAAAGGTGAGAAGGCCAGGGGGTAGGCATCGAGAGCCCTGGAAAGTAGGCCGAGTTAAAGCAAAGCAGACTCACTGTGCTCGACGTTGACACAGGCCTGAGCCGAGGACAGGGTGGAGCTTGTCACACTGTCACTTGTAAACTGTCGCCAAAACCCACTCCCCAAATTAACCAAACTCACTGCCATCAAGTCCACTGTGACCCCTAGGGCCCTATAGGGTAGGGCAGACCTGGCCCGTGGATTTCTAAGGCTCTAACTCTTTACGGGCATAGAAAGTCTCGTCTTTCTCCCCCAGAGCGGCTGGTGGTTTCAAACTGCCGGCCTTGCGGTTAACAGCCCAAGGTGTAACCTCCCATGCAACCAAGGCGCCTGTAAAAACTCAACACAGTTGTATTAAAAACAAACAAAACTCAAGGCGAGTAGGTTTCGGAGCCAAGAAACCAAGCCTGGGGGACCCCGGGGGCTGCCCTTTCAACCTCACCTTGGCTGGGGAAAGCCAGGAGGGCTCCCTGGAGGAAGGGTGCCCAGCAGGACGTGGAGGTGGAGTGTGATGAGGGAGAAAGGCATGATGGGTCAGGCCTCACCCACCCACCCCAGGTCTGGGGGCCTGGGGTTTCCGGTGGGAAGGGCTCGCCTTTTCTGAACGCTGGGGGTGGAAGGGCCAGGTGGAGACTGGGCACTCACCTCGGGGTGAATGCACAGGTTCTTGCGGGAGCTCAGAGCCAGTCCCAAGAAGGGTGGCTTCTGGCCTTCCTGTTTCTCGTAGAAGTTGAGCAGCTTGCGGAGTTCTTCAATCACCTGCTCCATGAACGGGGTGGGGGGGAAGAAGTGGGGGGGACACATGGCTGTGAAGAAGTGAAGAAGCTCCGGCCTCTGCCAGGCCCCTCCCCCAGCCCCCAGGAGTTCAGGATGCCGTGTAATGCCCTTCCATAACATAGTCTAAAGTAATATGATGGCTGCGTTGAGGTCCTCCCTGTGTAAGGGGGCGCCTCCATCTATCTAACCACCTCTGGGTTAGCAACGAACTGGGATAGACAGGGTAACACACACAGGCCCTTACTGTGCACGCACCCACAGTAAGACAGACAACCAGTGAGATTCACTCACAAGGAAAGATACACAAGCCACCAGAACTACGCAAGGGGCTCATGGGAGGGACCAGATTGGTCAAGCTCCTAACTTGAGTCTTTAGCCTCAAGAACTGTGAGGTGTATTTCTGTCACGGCCATGCTAGGACATGAAGCCACACCGGTGGCGGCTCACCTTCTCAATCTCGGGCACAGTCCTCGAGCAGTAGATGAGTTTAGTCACCTCCAGTGGGTATGCCTGCCGGTGACAAAGCAGGCTCAATCCCAGCCCGGGCCCCTCCCCGGGGCCACTCCACACTGAGACCCAGAGGGTCACTCACCCGCTGATACGCCATGATCAGAGACAGCAGGGACACTGTCTTCCCAGTGCCCGAGGGCATCTCCAAGACTCCGTGACCCTGTGTGATGGGGGCGGGAGACACAAGTCACAGACTCTGAGTCTTTGAGGACCTGAAATCTTGGGACGTTCCCCCCTTCCCTTGCCCCAGAAGACTGCCATCCACACAGCAGTGAGTAGTTTGGGGCCCCAGCAGGGAGGGATATTGAATCCCACTTCTGCCACCTCTTTATTGAGGATTATTAAATACCTGTCTTCCCCTTCTATGACCCTCAGTATTAGCCTCTCTAAACCAACCAAACCCACGGCCATGGACTCGGTCCAAACACATAGCAACCCTACAGGACAAGACTTGAACAGCTCCTTAGGGTTTCCCAGACTGTAAATCTTTACAGTAAACAGAGCCTCATTTTATTCCCGAGCAGCGGCTAGTAGGTTTGAACTGCTGACCTTGTGGGTAGCAGCCCAATGCATAACCCATCATGCCCCCTGGGTTCCTCGCTCATTTCTCACTGCCATCAAGTCCATTCTGACTCATAACGACCCTGTAGGACAGGGTACAACTGCCCCTGTGGGTTTCCGAGACTGTAACCCCTAAAGGGAGTAGAAAGCCTCATCTTTCACCCAAGGAGTAGTTAGTGGTTTCAAACTGCTGACCTTTCAAATGATTGTCCAACGCTTAACCACTATGCCACCAGGGCTCCTCCCTTCATCTCTAAGATGGGCCTAATAGAACGGTTTTTCATATAACACTGCTCACAGGGTTAAGGAGAAATTGTGAGCACAAACATTAAAAAAAAAAATGTGCTGACATCAAATTGTTTCTGACTCATGGAGACCCTCTAAGACAGACTAGAACTGCTCCAGTGGGTTTCTGAAACTGTACCTCTTACAGGACTAGAAGCCTCATCTTTCTCCCAAGGAGCAGCTGGTAGTTTCAAACTGCTGACCTTGTGGTCAATAGCCCACTTGTAACCATCTGATAATACAGCGAGCCCATTTTCTGCTAACTTAGCACTCTGCCATAGCACTGACTTGATTCCTGGGACTATTCTAAGTGCCTCATAGCATGCTCTATAGACATTTGGGGCTGGGTAATTCTTAGCTGTAGGCTAGCTGCTCTGGCATATGTTTAATGGCATCCATTAGAAACTTGTAGCAAAAAAAGAAAGAAAGAAACTTGTAGCAACACATACATACACACAACTGTCTCCAGACATTGGCGAATGTCCTCAAACCCCACTCTTGCCTTACAAGGTTTAATCACTCAACCCTCCCAAGAAACTAGAAGTACTATTAAAACCAGTTGTCCTCGGGCAATGAATGTACAAATGTGCTTTACACAATTGATGTATGGATTGTGATAAGAGATGGATGAGCCCCTAATAAAAATAAATAAATAAAAGTAGCCCCCCCCAAAAAAAAACCAGTTGTCCTCAAATGAAGTTACGGCAATCATATTCACATTAGAACCCCTGTGGTTTTCCACGACAGATGTTCTCGGAAGTAGACGGCCAGGCCTTTTCTTCCAAGACACCTCTGCGTGGACCTGAACCTCTGATCTCTGGGTTAGGAGCCAAGCAAGTTAACCATGAGCCTTGCCTGGTGCTATTCCTATGCCTCCTTTATGGAGGAGAAAATTCGAACTGGGATTCCAACCCAGGTCAAGTCACTATATCCCTCCCCAATGGGTTGGCAGGTCTGCCATAATAAGCTATGGTCACTCTGAGGGAGATGACAGCGGGAGAGGCTGTCCGCTGCTGTCTGCAGTCCTTATGGGTGGGAATCAAGTCAATGGCAGTAGGTTTGGGGGGGGTTACTATTAACTGGTATTATTTTAGAGGGCAGGAGATTTGGGGGGGGGGGTCCCAGATTCCCAAGGGCCTCCGCTTTCTAAACTTCTGGGGTCCTGGCGATCTTAGTCCGAGACCCCAGTGCGGTGGCCCCGCGGGCCAGCTGGCACGTCCACCCACCTTGGCATCCAGCGTGCGTTTGAGCTCCAGCATGTAAGAGAACTGCTCCGGGTAGATGTAGTCGTAGGGGAAGTAGACCAGTAGTCCGTCCACGTTGAGCCTGGCGGTCAGGGCGCTGCGTTACTGCCCCCCTCGACCTCCGATGCCCAGACCCCAAGCACCCGTCCTCGGTACCCACGCAAACCCGCCAGTTCCCAAGGCGCCTCCGAATTTCCCCCCGATTCTCCCCGTTACCGCCCCGCCGACCCTCGAGGCTGTCCCATTCCACTTCCCCGGCACCCTCTTGCCCGGAGAAGCCCACCCGTCCCCCCCGACCCATCTTTTAGGAGTTCAAGAGCTAAGGCCTCAGCCCCCTCTCACTTCATGGCGCCGGCTAAGGCGTGCAGGGCGTCGATCCGCCTTCTCATGAATATTCAGCAGGAGGCTGGGCTCTAGGAGGAGGGGGAAACGTCCGCACTAGCTTCCTTGCGATCCCATTGGCTGGCGCTGTCCGTCTCTCTCCTGGGGCAGAACCAGTAAAGATACTGCGCGAAGCAGTGAGAAGGCGGGCTCCCACGACGTGGGCGGTGCCAAGGCACCACTGAGGATCGCTGAGCACCGAGAACCATAACCGGAAGGAGGAGAGCCGAGAGAATCGATCGTACTCCTTAAATAGGAATCCGCGTAGAAAATCGCGCCTGGGAGAGAGTAAACAGGGAAATTAGAAACTCCTTCGTGGCCGGCCGGTAATAAACGGCTTCGCCGCACCAGAGAGTCATACATACATTTATAAAGCGCCTCCTTGTCCTGGACTCTTGTAGGCTAAATAACTCCATTTATTGACCATCTACTATTTGCCAGATACTGTACAAATCAGTCTAATGCAGTGGTGGTTCTAAACTTTCCTAATGCTGCGACCCTGTCATACAATTTCTCATTCTGTGGTGACTCCCAACCCAGTTGGGCCAACCGTAAAGTTATTTCGTTGCCACTTCATAATTGTCATTTTGCTACTGTTACAAATCATCATGTAAATATCTGATATTTTCCTTGTTAAAAATGGAACATAATGATTCATCACAAAGACAATATGTAATTATATATTGTGAAATATTTATTTCTAATTACAAATCAATGAAATTTTGTCTTGAAGCATGGTGTAGCATGGCTAACAGTCTTAATATAACAACAGTAAACTACATTGCTACATTTTGCAACAGTGTGCCTGAGAAGCCAACCGAAGTGCAAAGGTTGCCATAGAGCCATGTCTCGGTTCCTAAGACTATCAGAAATATGTGTTTTCCAATGGTCTTAGACGACCCCTCTGAAAGGGTCCTTCAGCCCCCAAAGGGGTTGCCACCCACAGGTTGAGAACCACTAGTCTAATGGAAAAAAAGTTTGTTTTGGTGGCGAAAAGATCAAGGTGCAGGATGGACTGTGCTTGGAGGCTTGAGGAGAAAAACAGGTCCTTGCCTCTTACAGTGAGGGCATTCAAATAACTTAAAAACAGTCCGCTGTCCTAACGACCATTTTAAGTATAAAAAAAGATATACCGAAAGGTAGTTTATTATTTCATGCAGTTAAGACTTACATAAGAACAATGAAAGAAGGACACAAATCTAGACTGTGTTATAAGAAAATTTGAAAAAATATTGAATAAAACCTGAGCCCCCTCCCCCCAAAATAAAACTGTTACTTAAGATAGTTCCATACTGCTTCTTGATTGGCATCTTCCCTGGCAATATTCTTCACTGTTATCCAAGCATCATACGCTGTGTGGTTTATTCTTAACCATCTTTTCACTGTCGGAGTGGGATCCCAATCCTTTAGAGCTAGAACAGTCAGACAATAGTCATTGTGTTTGATGTGTTAGAAACAAGTGACCTCTCTTCTCTGAACATACTATGTTCCTCTCTAAAACACCTCTTTTCACTTGAAAGTGAAACTTTTAATTAGTTGCGGTTAAACTTACAGCAATTGTTCTGACAATATTTTTTAGCTCTTTCAGCACTGTCGGGAATTGCATAATTCACTCCTAATACCTCTTGGGAAGTTGGGGCGTCACCCAAAGCTGAAACGAGTGACAGCGTGTCACCCTCTAGTTCTTTGGCACTTTTCCTCTTGATATTATCTATTTGTTTATGAATGCAAGGGAATAAAAATGTCTTTCATCAAAAGGATAACAAGTTTTATGAAGTGAATAAATATTACAAGCTTGCTCCGTCTAATTTTTTTATACCTATGGACTCAGTTAACATTACTCCCAGTGCTTAAAATAAGCTGTTGTGCAGATGAACATTTAAAAAGAATAAGGAGGGGGAAAAAATAGAATAAGGAGGGAAAAAACTTTTTTAAAAGAATAAGGAGGGTTGGGGAGTGAGGGGGTGGTGGCAGGGTTGAGGAGGGAGGGGATAAAAGGGAGCTGATCTCAAAGACTTCAAGAAGAAAGAAAATGATAACAGCAGCAATTGTACAATGATGCTTGATCTAATGGAACTATGGATTGTCATAATATCTGTAAGAGCTCCCAATAAAATGTTTTTAAAAAGAAAAAGAGGGGAAACAGCGGAAAGGTCTGAGGGGTCGGCCCCAATACCAACTACGTGCACAACTGGCCCTCAACCCAGAATTTATTTCAGAGGATGGCACTGAATCTGCAGCTCTGGGAGAGGGACATATCTGATCAGAGCACACAGGAGCAGATGAAGGGGGAGGAGGAGAGAGTG